GGAGGGAGGAGGGGAGGCAGAGTCTTGCTGCAGCCCAGCACTCTCCTCCAGACTCATCATTCTCCTCACAGCATCTGTGGAGGGAGGCGATGTCTGCTCCGCACACCTCTTAGCTCAAAGATCCTGGAAGAAACGCGGGGAGAAGCAAGAGTCAGAGGGAGAGGCGAGGATCAGGAAGCCAGTGCTGGAGAAAAGGCTGAGGCAAAAGGGAGAAAGAATTGAGAGTAGGAGGGTTTTCTTTTTCTCAGGCGTTGGTGTAGTTGTTGAGGAGAGAGGGGAACGTGAGACAACGGCTGGCATCTCCCAAATGGAGTGGAATGGGTTTAAGATGGTAAGAAAGGCTACAGGCGGCCTGACACTCTTACTTCATTTCCAGAAATCTGCAGCAGCTTCAGGAGGTTTTCGTATATTGTCACCTAACTGTCAGTGTGTGTTATGCTCTTTTTGTGTAGCCAGTGCAGTGATGCTCGTAAACTATTTCACATGCAGAATGTTAAGTTCCTTTTTGCAGGAGGGGGGGTTCAGTCGGGGAGGCGGGGACAAGGATGTGTCGTTAGACTGAAGATTTGAGGGCTGAATAAGAAAGGGAAGAAGACATCAGGTACCATGCTGGTAGAGGTGTAGAGGCATGAGTCGAGGTAAGAAAATCTGGGGAGTGTGGGGAAAAGAAGGGAAGAGTTGAACAGAGGAGCAGAAACCATTTTACGTTAAAGCTGTGTGTGTGTGTCCCCCACCCCCTTTTTTTTCCCTTTGCACAACTCTGCAGTGAGAAATACCTGCAGAGGTAGACTACACATTTATAATACAAGCAGGAAAACTGTGTCTAAAAATTACATTTAAGTTACACAAGAAATCTGACTAGACGGGCCTCTCGTGCGCACTAAGTATCATCCATGTATTGTACAACTGAAAAAAATATAAAGTAAATATGTTGGAATTGGGCACATTTCTGAATTACCGAAGATTATTATTCTTTGTTCTCTTTTCCTCGAGTCTCATGTCTCTTACTGGTGTGTTAAAGTGTGTGTCAGCACGAGAACTGTGATTATGAGCTAGCCAAGTCTTCTGCTTTTCTCACTACCCTGAGACTCACTACTACATCCTTCCATCCATCACATGCATACAAGAAAGTAAGAGATACTAATAAAACCAGCAGCCATTTTATTATCCTGTCGCTTCACCTGCCATAGCCTTTAAGACCTCCGTATTTCATCATGTGTACCAATTTCAAGAGTTTTTCTGTGATTTTTTAAATGCATCCATCTATTTTCATTGGCTTTTTTATTTACTTTCCGCTGACTCATTTTTGCATTTCCACAAATAACATTTGTCAGAAAAAAAACATGTTTTGGAGTGTGCAGGGTGGTTTCAACTAAAGGTAATCAAAATGCTAACTGAAATGTAGGTGATTCCTCTTTGGTAATGTTGGCTGTCTGCTCTTTCTGCTTCACAATTCTGTATTCTTAGACCCTGGGAGTTTCAGTCTCGTGTCAGCAGAGGTGCGAAAGCCTAACAGGAATATACGGTTAATGATGTACAAAGTCAGGCGTGACTACTGGAGACTATCATTTGTGCAAGATCACATAAGAAGCTGCAGTGTTTGGAAGAAATGGACATAAAAGCAAAGTGGAAGAGAGGGATAGAAAAATAAAATGCACATCCATATTGAAGGGGCACACTATGTATGTATACACACACAAACACACACACACAGACACACACTCATGCACAGGAGCCTTATTACCCTGAGGCAGAACACCATGTGCTCCAAGGTTACACATCAATGCTAACAGGGTGAAGTGTGCTTGGAATTTATCAGCTGCTGTGCACAAACTACGTGCTAAGTGATTTAAACGTAAGTGAATATCAAAGAAACATGGGATTATGGGGCAGGAAATGAGCAGCTCAAAGACAGGTAAAGGTTTGAGGAAGAAAAATGTGATTTAGACAACAAAGAAGAAATTAGCTCTTTACACACAAGATTCTTTGATTGGATTGAAATATACAGTGTTTTGATTGAATAGTCTAAATGTATTGTTTATATGGGCAAAGAATTATTTAATTAGTAGAAACGTTACTGCAGTTTGTGTTTCTGCACTTTCAACCATCAAGGCGATGGGGGCTATATCATGTAAAATCAACTTTTTTGAGTTTTATATCATGTTATAATGTTATCCTCATCAAAAACATGCCCAAAGTCTTGCTTTGACTCATTCATGCATGTTTGAGAAATCCTATGCTGTCCTGAGGCAGCAGGCAGGGGAGCAAAAACAACAGGTGGGGACTAGAACCGCCTTTTGGGACCATCTCCGCCTCTGGGCTGTGTCTCCAAGCCGAGCTTCCTCATCACGGAGCACACCCCCACCCCACATACCCCACCCATGACTCCTGCAGGCTCTCAGCAGCAACAAAGCAAACAACGGGTGAAAGTGAAAGTGAAACCGTCTGAGCTCCAAACACTACTTCTCACTCAGTGAAGCTCTTTTCAGATTAAAAATACCTTTGAGGAAATGTATTTTCAGTTGGCAAGTAAACTGCATTATAGCCCCTCCCCCTCCTTAAAATGGGACGGGACAGAAGCGGAAGGTGGTTCTTAAAGAGACAGAGGGCAATTTCAAGGCGTTTAGAAGAGGAAGTGATGAGAAGATGTTTATGTTTATTTAAACATAAAAACACAATTTTAAAAACAACTAAAGGTGACATAGCTACTTTATTATAGTATAGTATTTCAGTCAGTCAGGTCAGTTTTCTGTAATCAGAATAACATCATCAGAATAAATGTTTGCATGCACAATGTTTGGATTATCAATCGGCCTAAACCACCCCTCTCATTCGCGTTACAAATACATTCCTATTGAGTTGAATCAGATCAGAAAATTCAGGGGCGTTTACATAACACATTTTTTATTCCACTTGGCCGTTTAGTCTGATTCCCTATGTTCATGTAAACATAGCTAATGTGTCTGATAAGCTAGCATAAAAGCAAACGTAACAGGGCAATAACAGAGCGTTCATTCAAAAACATAACATGATGTTTTGTGCTCTGGGCATTGATTGGTTTTGTGTAGTTTTATTTCAGCATGTGTGTCAAAATACCTGCCAATGTGTGTCCAGATACAGATTGATGTGGTTCAATAGAAGCTGATTAAACACAAGTTATACTCAGTGTAGGAAAACAGAAATTCATGTGTGAACAGTTACTTTTTAATCTTCTTATACTGTTCTTACTCCAAAACATTGCACCTCTTTGACTCTAGCCTGGTTTTTAGTCCATTGGAAATGTGAAATTTTGTCTCGCTGATTTTGTTAAGTGATCCAAATTGTGTACTTTTATTCTGGTGCACCGTTGACACCCCCTCTTGTGC